CAATTTATGATGAAGAAGCGCGAAGCAAGTTTAAGGCACAACCAAAAAAAGAAACTTAAGGAATACATAGAAGAAAACAATTTAAGCGAGGAAGACTTAACACCAAGTCAGATTAATGAAATCATTACAGATAAGAAACCTAGCGGAAAGAAACGCGGAGCTCCGAAATACGATATGAACGAATACAAAGTGATTATGCCAAACAGCGGAATGTAGAAAATGATGATTTAATTAATTATATTAAATCATTATTTTTTTGTTACTTATTTATATGAGCGAGAAGCAGAAAATAATCAATGATGTATATTTTGATAGAGCGGGGTTTGGCAGTAAATCCAGAACACTAGCGGAAGCACGAGAAAAGGACAAAACCATAACAATGGGCGATATTAATGAGTTTTTTAGAAAGAATGTTGAGCAAAAAAGAAAGCAGGTAGGTCAAAACAGTTTTATCGCACCTCATTCCGCTTATGAATATCAAATGGATTTGTTTTTTATAAACGATATGGATGAACAAAAGTTTAGGGTAGGTATGCTAATGATTGATGTATTTGATAAGTTTATGTGTGTGGTGCAGATAAAAGGAAAAAAGGAAGAGGATTTGGCGAGTGGAATGATTGAGTGTTTAAACAAGATGGGAAAGAAACCCGAGATAATTTATACAGACGACGAGGGAGCAATGAACAAGGAAGCAATACAAAAGTATTTGAAGGATGAAAACATAGAGCACCACAGAACGCGGGCGCACCCAAATTTTAGCGAAAGAGCCATCAGAACTTTTAAAGATATGTTGTATAGGAGAGTTGAAGCAGATGAGAAAAAAGGAAAACAAAACATCCAATGGCCAGATTACATATTAGAAATATTATTAACCTATAACAATCAAATGAAACACTCGGCAACGGGTTTTACGCCGAAAGAAGCCCGAAAACCCAGCAATCAATTCAAAGTGAAATTAAATTTAACGATGAAGGGCAAGAAGAACCGCATTTATCCCGAACTAAATGTAGGAGATGAAGTTAAGATATTTAGGAAGCGAAAACCCAATGAAAAAGAAAGAATAAGTAACTGGTCGCAGAATGTTTATACCATAGAAAATATTGAAAATAAGCTAGGGCAAAATTATTACAGAGTTGAGGGCAATAATAGGCAGTATCTTCGTTTTGAGTTGTTAAAAGTTTAACAATCTTATGAAATAAATTTCTAAAGAAAAACATCTAAAGAAATAATACCTATATATATTAACAGGGAAATGTTCAAGTTTGAAAGTTGTTGGAAGTGCGAAGAAATGAACAAGGTAAGGGTGTTAAATAGCAAGTTGCCGATTGATATATGTAATCGCGTATGCGAATATGATAAGTGCGATAAGTGTAGGAATAAGATAATGGAAGAGGAAGATTTAGATAAAAACCCCAGATTTTCAAAGCTAAACAAAGTTCAAAAGATAATAATACACATTCTATATCGTAACCATGACATTGATACAATTATGGACAGGCGCAAATACAAAAACATCATCAAAAGGTCAAATAACCCACTGCGAAAGATAATGAAGCACTTTGTAAATATCAGAAACCATTCGGACAGGGAGCGTTTTATGTTTCACGGTGTATGTCATGCTAGTTTATTATATAGTGTCATAAGCAGTTTATCAGACACAAAAGTGCTTAAGGAAATCGCATATTATAGGATTAAAACCGCTACTATGAGATTTAACGGCTTTGAAATTAGTAAGGAAGTTATAGTAAAGGAAATAATACGCGAATGTTTTGATTTTTGGATGGTGGGTTGGAGGGATTATTATAACACCACAACCGAAGAAATTATGGAGTATGTAGAGTATGTGTTTTCGCTACAGTTTAGCAACCATAACATTATTAATATTCGTATAATGTTATGTTTGTAGCCATCCTAAACCCCAAAATTTAGTTACTTACTTTTTTTATGTCCGTTTTTATTTGTTTTGTTATTTTAGTTTGTTTTTGTATGGCATTTGTCTATGTATTTGAAGGCGTTTTCGTTTTTTGGTCATATTAAAACCGTTTCAGTTAAAAATTTGAGGTTTATTTTTTGTTGTATTTCTGTTTTTAATGGTTTTATGTTTTTTATGATTTTTTGTTCGTAAAACATATGTATTTTTAACCAAGGCACTGGCAGTCGTAGAGGTCGGTCACTGTGTCCGCGATGGTGGCGTAGAGAACGAGGATGCTTGTAGTTTTTCGGAGTCCTTCGAAGGGCGAAAGTGGGAGATACTGAGGTAAACAGCAACACGGGACATTGGACTTTGCTCGGCATAGCACATGGAATATTTTTTGCACCTTGTGCTGTATAATCTTTCGTGTCAGTAGTTCCGTATATACACGAGGGAGATTGCGTCTGCAACATCCTTAAAGTCAATACTGTGCGACTGCCATGACAAGGTCATGACACCAAGTGGTTTCAATTTAGATGAAACGGTTCCAAAACTCACCTCTAACGGATGCCTATACATACCAGCGGGCTCTTTTGGGAAAACACATTCTAAGTGGAATATTCTAAGGGGAATATTCTAGGTGGAGTATTCTACGAGGAACCCGCCTTACAAGTCTGGATCATCATCCAGCACATCCATCGGAGACGATGAAGAAACAGCATTTACAGCCTGCGCTTGCTGTTGCTCAGCAACTATGCGCAGAGCCTCTTCACGAATTGAACGTTGTCGAATTTGCTCGGCAAACTCACCATATCGATTATCAATGAGGTCGGTCATGCGCTGGTGCGAGATGTGATTGTTCCCCGTTGCCGTGAACTCCCTGATATACACCTTCTCTAGCAGTGGCAAAACCAACGCCTTGCTTGTAGTGACTGCTTTCTCGGCGTCGTTGATTTGCTCAAACTCTGGGTCGAGAAGGTGCCAAATCTCCTTCACAATCTTCGCGGGGTCGTTCTGACTGGAGTTATACCACGTGTTTCGAAGAGCTTCTACCTGCGAAAAGTTCATCCTGCCGACGAGGGTCTGCATGAGGTTGTTGTCGGAGGTCACTGCTTGGTCGAGCGCCTGCAAAACGCTGAGGAAAGGATTGTCGTTAGTGATGTTGTTCCTTGCCTCGTTGATGGATTGGTCGATGTCTTCACGTTTGCGTTTCGCTCCTCCTCGTCCACGGATAAGAACATCAAAGGTGGAAATCTCGGTGTAGTCAATGTTGCCAAGGCGGGTGCTTTCATCTGGCGGACTGCGGCCACCGCGCAACTGGATTTGAAAGTCGTCTGCATCTAAACCGCTGAGGTATGGGAACGCATCGACATGTTTCTCCAATGCTTCGGTCTTCAACTGGACGATCGACCATTGAGTATTGGCATCAGCCATGTCGTATGTCCTCCGTGTATCTCCACATACAACCTGCACGAAGCATGGCTTCATTCCGAAAGGTGGCAAGTAGATAAGTTCCAAGCGGTCTTGTTCCCATGTCAATTCACTGATGCCTCTAAGGTAGTCCTCACCGTCCAACTCAACACCATTGTGCATCAATATGTAATGCTCGGAACCGCGATTGACGAACTTCTCAATGACATCAGCAACCGTGTCCACCTCGCCAGTAGCGAACACTTCGTGCATACTCACCTCACCGAGGATCGTGCCGCGGTGAAAGACAACAAAGCTGACGAAGTTTATCATGTAGTTGTCCAAGGCAACATCCACGTCAATTTCCAAAAAGCTAGGGTTCAAACCGACCCGTCTAACAATGTCCGTGGAGACGTAGCAAAACATTTCTTGCATAATGTTCTGCGAGAACCGTGGTGCATCCATGCCATGCAAAAACCCAAGGAGCTCAGGTAAGACACGACCATACTTGTAGCACTCAATCGGGAACACTGCTCTGAACATTTCAAGAATCATGTCCTTCAAAAGGTAAGGTTTGTCTACGCATCGGCTTTTGTTGTTTGCCCACCATACTCGCATTTCTGCAAACTCTTCTTTAGTGAAAATTCGACTGGTGACAAGCTGTTCACGGCCATGATTATGGCAATAAACATACTCCAAATTGAACACTTTTTGCACATAGGACTTGCTGAAGTCTTGTGAAATGTGCGCGGTGTCGGGGATGCCATTGACAATCACGGCACGAAAGGCTTCGCACTCACGCTCCAAATCTTTCGTGGTGTTCTGAAGCTCTTTGATTTGCCGATATGCACTAAAGGGGTTCATGACAATCTTCGCTACATCCGTGAAGGTCGGCCCACCAATGACGCCTCTCGCCTTTGCATCCGAAAGGGCCTGTTCATTGGAGCGACGATGGCAACAATGGAGACGGTTCATCGTGGCGACCCAATCGCTCACCGCACTCTGGAATGAGTTTACCATTGCTCTAAGGGTCAACGGATGTAAAAAGACTAAGACTGAACACCTCGTGGGTCAACCAAAATGGCGACTGGGAACGCCCGAATGCTGGATGCTTTTTTCAATCAATGCAATCAGAACTGATGAGCATGCCACGCTGCTTCACTTGTCTGGATGCAACCGCAAAGCAAAGCAGTCTGTCCTCGCGATGAAACGGTAGTCGTCGTAGTCGTGGTTGTTGCGGTAGTCCACCGGTATTGGCAGGGCGAGGGGTTGCTTGTTTCCTACCTTATCCCTAAACCTTATTCCTATTATAGCTATTTTATTAGAGAATACCATTTCCATTTTCTAAGGTTAGGGATTTCGGGTTGGGAATATGGTTTTTCTATGGGGATGTTGGTGTATGGGGTTTAGAGTGGGTTTTTTCTATGTGGTGGTGTATGGGTCTTCCAATGGTTCCATCATATGGGTTTTTCCTATGGGTATTTTGGTGAGGTTAGGGTTGAGGTATAGGTTGTTATGGTTTTGGGTCTTCAGGTGGCCTAGGGGGGTGGGCATGGTTAGAAAATGGAAATGGTCTCTACTAACTCATTTTAGGGTTCCCTATTATGATTTCCTTATATAAATCCTTAAAAAGGTAGGTTCTTCAGGGTTAAGGTAGACCCCTAAGCAGCTGCCTGAGGCTGGAGAAGGACTTAAAGACCAAGGATTCCGAGCGGATTCTCTTCTGTGCCAGGAGCTTCCGCCAGGGTTTCGGGGTTCTAGGGTTTAGGGTTGAATTAGGGGTACTTAGAAATATTTTCTATTTTTTGGTAGGGTCTAGGGTTTTAGGGTTTAGGGGTCTAGGGTTCTAGGGTTTTGGGGTTTAGGGTTCTAGAGTTCTAGAGTTCTAGGGTTTAGGGTTCTAGGGTTCCTGGAAAGGGAAGTACAGGTGTAAGGCTCCTTAAATCGGTCCCATATGGGAGTTTCCGAAAATAGGGGACCCTAATCTAGTACCTTAAAATAGAAGGATCCTTCTTTTCAGGACCCCAAACCAAGGTACCCCTAGTTTTTGGGAACTCCCATATCGTCAGGGTTTAGGGTTCAGGGTGCAGGAGTTTTAGGGCTTTGGCGGTTTAGAGGCTTAGGGTTTAGGGGCTTAGCGTTTACTTACAGTAGTAGCTCCTTGAGCACACTTCACACTTTTGGGGATAAGAATATCCTCTACAGACCTATAGAACTGAAAGTTTACACTGTTGGGGCTTTGTGAATTCGGCAACGGTGCAGTGGTTTTAGGGATTTCTGCCTAGGGGTTGAGGGTTTGGGGTTAAGGCGTCGGGGTTTGAGGTTCAGGAGTTGGGAGTTCAGGGTGTACAGTTTTAGGGTGTAGGGGGCAGGGGTCTAGTCTAAGCCATTTACAGGTGGGTAGTTTTAAGGTGGGTAGTCTCCCATAAGGCTTCCATACCACTCCTATAAGGTAAAGGGGTCTTATGGGAGTACTATGGAAGAGGAACTACCCACCTGTAATGGGCTTCTATCTAGGGTTCAGTGCAATCAAGATACCTGTAGAGCATACCTTTGATCCGCTTCAGGTAAAGTTTGTGTTGTCTTCCCGGCTCCTTAACCCAATGAAACTGTTCACATGACCGGGAAGGCACTGCAGAAGGACCTTTAAAACGGCCCCAACCCATGCAACTTTGTTGGCTTTGGGTGTAGTTTCGGTGGTAGGCCGAGGAACCATCAGTCCTCAACCCAACCCTAAACCCTAAACCCTAAACCCTAATCCTAATCCTACACCTGCAACCAAGCCTTGAACCTGAACCCAAAGAGACCCAAAACCTCAAATCTCGATGCCTGGCAGGAAGGGCGAGGCGACAAAGGCATACAAGCCCACCCCGGATCAGTGGGTAGGACAGGATTCGGGGTTGGGGTTTGTGGGCTTTGGTGTTTAGGGTTTTGGATTCTGGTGGCTAGGACAGGCAGTGGTGAGACGCTGGATTGCCAACACTTTTTGACGCAAGCCTGAATCGTCAGAGTCGGGTTTGGATGCATAGTAATAGTCTAGTTAAGTCTTCAGGGCTATCGGGACTATAAGCGGAGATTGTTGATCACTACTAGTCATTCCCCAAGACTCCAAATAGCCCAAACTAGGTACGATTTATCCAAAGTAGGTACTATTTGTATACACCCTGAATCCTAAGCCCTATACTCCCTAAACCCTTAACCCTATACCCCTGAACCTTATCCCTTCAGCTCGAGCCGAATGGCTAGATTTTTTGTCCGGGGCTGAGGGGTTCGAAAACCGAAAACCCAAATCTCAACACCCCTCAGTTGGTCAGATCTCGCGCAGGGGGCTTGGTTCTGCAATACTACATTCTAAGAACCCTAACAAATTGGGGAACCTTAGAATGCAGGGTTTCTGAGACCCCAAAGAGACCCAAGGACTCTCCCTAGGACATTCCGGACCCTCCTAAGGAGATACCTGGACCCTTAGGGTAAGAACCTTCATGTCCAAGGGTAAAAGGAGGGACCCTTAGTAAGGACCCCTAGGTATATACCCTTAATATAGCTATTATATGGTAGAAGCCAGAAAGTTGGACCATTAGTATCCTCATGCCCCTAAAGTAAAGTATACGGGATCCTAGCACAAATCCTCCTAAATCCATGTTCCAACTTTCTGGCTTCTACTGTATACCCATTATATAGCCCATTTTAGGGTAGGGGTCCCCATGAAGGGTCCCTCCTTTTCCCCTTTGAATTCTGATCCGGCTGCAAGACCCCGGCCTGAAGGGCAGGTCGTAGAGTTTTGGAGCATCGGCTGCGAAAGGAGACGGGAAAGGACTGGGCGCGGTTGCTTATTGTAAGTATAACCCAAAGGGTCCAAGTACCCAAATAGTAGGGATTTAGGTCCCAAAATCCATACTCTGAATGGTTTTTGGAGCTTGAAATCCTACTATTTGAGCACTTGGACCCTTAGGGTAAACCCTTAGGGTAATAAAGTTAAAACATAGTAATATAATATAGTATAGTGTAGGATAACGTCCTGTATTACAGTATCATGTAGTATAGCAGAGTATAGTATAGGATAAACGGTATAGTATAGTATCAAGCCACGATCTCCGGCAAAGTTAAGGGTTTGGCATGTAACCTGAAAATGTAGGTACAAGACCAACCGGCCAAAACCCTAAACCCTAAACCCTAAAACCCCTAACCGTGACGAGGACGCAAGATCGACCTCAAGGTGGATGATGTGGTAGAACCGCTGCTCGGACTCTATTCCACGCCAAGCTTGAAAGGAGACCCAAGTCCCAATATAGGGACCGAAATAAGTACCTATACTATATTGGTGGTTCCTTGTTGTTCTAATTGTAGCTTAATATAACACCAAACCTTATTCTAACTATGAATGCCCCTATACAGGGACTATAGCAGATGCCATAGTATACTGGTTCTAACCCCAGATGAAGCCCCCAAAAGGAGCGCAAAGATACTGCCTGTAGCATCACACCCAGGTCGAAGCTCGATATCGTCCTAAAGGACATTGACCGCTGCTGCGTACTGCCGCTTTGCTTCGATTCTGGAAAGAGGGTAATGAAATCAAATGAAATAAGGCTTAGGATGCAGTTTGTTTTTTTGATTTGCTTGTTGGTTTAGCTTTCGGGCTTTAATGCTTCAAGGTGTTTTCAATTACAGCTTTAGTTTTTTAAGTAATTACCGGCCTTGCAAGGCTTCAAGGCTTAGGATTGTACTTGCAAGGTCTCTGTGGGGTTTCACGGCGTTTGTTTGGGGCTTTAGGGTTCCAGACACAAGGCAGTATAACCCCCCCCCATTATTAATGGAGTTATGCAGACTCATATATGAGGAGCAAAACTGCTCAGAACAGCCTGAAGCAATAAACCCTCAACGTCCCTTTGAACTCTTCTTCCCAAACCCTTGTTTTCAATACCCATTTAGCAGAAAGGCCCTGGGTTTGCTCGTACCCTAAACCCTAACCCCAAACCTCTAAACCCTAAAACCCCAAACCCTAAACCCCTAAAGCCTAAACCCAGGTGGCGCAAGCGCCGGAAGGTGGGTGGCTCCCAAGCGCTCCAGGATGACGAGCCGGAATCTGTCGAGGCTTGGTCTCCGACCCGTTCAGGGGTCGGTTGAAGGGACTACTTGGAGGGTCGGGGGACTTAGTAGGGCTCCTTAAAGGGATCCTTAAAGGGCTCCTTAAAGGGATCTATAGGGGGATTGTCAGGGGATCTACAAGGGAGGGGAGGTATGGGACTTAGTAAGTAGGTAATAAGTATGAGTTGTAAGTACCCTAAAAGGGACCCTATTTGGGGTTATGGTACTTATGACTCTTTAAAATGACTACTTAGTAAGTCCCCCGACCCTCCAAGTATGAGGATCTTTAATGGGGTTCCTGTTAAGGATATTAGGGGGATCTATAACAGGGCCTAGTAGGTTGCCTTTAGGGTGTCATGGGGTTCATACTAATTGGGTTCCCCTGAAAGGGTCCTTGTTTTAGGGTCCTTTTGGGGGGCTCTTGAGTGGTCAGGGGGGTTTAGGCTAGGAGTTTAGAGGTTTAGGGCTTAAGGCTCGGGGTTACCCTTAATAAGGACCCCTATGTATATACCCTCAATGTAGCTATTATATGCCCATTATATAGCCCATTATGGGGTAGGGGTCCCCATTAAGGGTCCCTCCTTTTCCCCTTTGAGTTAAGGGCTTTCAGGGTCGCCGTCGCCAGAATCCAGAAGGGTTCAGGATTTGCGGGTTGGGGGCTCGCGGTTTACAAGCTCCCTACCCCAAAGGGTCCAAGGATTGTCATGGTACATACTTAGACCCCCAAAATGAGTATATACCATAATGATACTTGGACCCTTTGGGTACCTTTTGAGATTAGGACTAAGATTCCAGAATCTGCTTGGGTTTAGGGTCTAGGGTTCTGGCTGTAGGGCGTAGGGCAAAGCTTGTTAATTGAAGCCCGCTTCTTCGGCGGCACCGGAGCCGGTGGCGCGAGCCGCGTCGGAGGAGGAGCGCGGCGCAATCTCACCCTAAGGGTCCATGTACCTAAAGATGGTCAGCAAGCTTGTAGGGGTTTAGGGTTTAGGGGTTCAGGGTTTAGGGGGGGGTACTATAAGGGTTCTAGAAGGGTTTAGGGTTTAAGGAGTTCATGTACCTAAATAGTATATACATTGCCTTAAAGTACTCCCTATGTGGGTACATTGGGCCCAAAGTATATACTATTTTGGTAATTACATGGACTGTTTGGGTCTCCAGAAAGGAGGAGATTGTACAGCCTATGGGGGCACCCCGACTGGCTCCCGCAAGCTCAGGTGAGCCCACCTCGGACGATTCTGGAAGGTGTCGTCGTTTCTGAGGTGCAGAGTGGCCCACCACCAGGCCCAAAGGCTCCATGTACCCATATAGTAGGTACTTAGGCCTTAAAGTGACCATATAGGGACCCCTTTAAGGCCTAAGTACCTACTATATGGGTACATGGAGCCTTAGGGCAGGGCAGGGCGGCGTTGGAAGGCGCCTGGTGAGAATCCCTGAGGCGGTGCATACCGTGGTGGTGAGAAAGGCTGTGCTTGCAGTACTTAATACTATGCACCAAGCCTATTCTAAATTCCACTACGGAGGCTTCTACATTGCAACCTAAAAGTAAGCACTTCCTGGTAAAGCGCGCAAGAATTCAATTAAAAAATAGAATCTCTGAATGACACTTTAACCTCCAACATGAAGCCCAGCACTATAAGCCTGCAAACAAAATTCCCGTGAAACCCCAATAACCTGGTTCTTGCTATGAATTTAGTTCAAGTTACAATAGTAAGGAAACCATATGGCTTTCTTTAGATGCCTTTCCCTTCAACGGTTTTTTGTGTACCTAAAACCCTACTGTTTCTGGTACTTAGGCCATCTGGGTATGGTCACTTAAGGCAAATCCCTTAACAAAGAGGGTCCATTTATACTGCCATTGTGCAACCAGGCCCCTGAAACCATGATAGGGATGCCCTTTTGGTAACTAATTTCATAATTGGCAATGGTAGTACATACTGTTGATAAGGAGTATACCACAATTCCCATAGTTTAGGGTCTTTAAGGTAATGCAGGATTTATATCATCAACCGTATGTACCCTCTGATCAACAAGAACCCAGACAGTGGACGGCTGTAAGAGGCCGACGCTTTCGTCGCCACGGTGACGCCACGCGCTCTGGGCGTCCTCAGTTCCCTGGCTGCTGCGCCTTGCCTGGAAGGAAAGGGGTTTAGGGTTTTGGGTTTCTGGGTTTGGGGGCTTAAAGTTTAAGGGTTTAGGATTCAGGGTTTAGGGCTGCTTGACAGAAAACCCGAAGTGTCCAACTATTGATTATGGCACTTTGTGTCCTTTGGGTTTTTTGGGGGGTTGAGGATTAGGGGGTTTGCGGTTAGGGGATTATAGGAGTTTAGGTTTTCGGGTTTGCCGTAATTGTCCAAGTACCTAGTAATCATAAACTCTCCCGAATACGGACCAACAAATCTACGGCTGATGATAGAAATCCTGCATTACCTAAAGGACCCTAAACTACGAGAGTTATGGAGTATCCCTTATTATGGGTCATGCAGGATTTATATTATCAACCGTATTATCCAAACCCAAGTAACCGACCCTCCTACGGCTGATGATAGAAATCCTGCAGTACCTTCAGGACCCTAAACTATGGGAATTATGGTATATTCCTTACTATGGGTAATGCAGGATTTATATCATCAACAGTAGTTGACTCGAACACGAAGCCCTCAGGGTTCCCTCCTGTAGTTGTACCTTAACCCCAAGTAACCTACCTTTTCAAGGACTTCTAGAAAGAAATCAAAGTAGTAACCTACCTTTTCAAGGACTTATATAAAGAAATCAAAGTAGTAACCTACCTTTTCAAGGACCTATATAAAAAAGTATTAGGGAACCCTAAAAAGGTAGGTTTCCTTAGTCCAGGCAGTGCATAGCCCCAAGAAACCAGTCTAGCTTTAAGGGCCTGTGTTGTGACCTGTTGTGCCTGTCTACTGGTGGTGTCATATTTATGTCTATAGGATGCTCCAAAACTCGAAGACGTAAAGCCTGAAGCCAACCCCGAAACCCAAGCCTCAAAGAGTAAGCCCGACTCCTGAATCCCTTGGTCCGGACCTGGAAGAGAATCGGTTTAGGGTTAGGTTTAGCGTTTAGGGTAGTGCAAGCTCTGAGGGCCCAAGTTGTGGCGTATCCTAAACCGTTAGCCTACATTCAAGTCAAGGCCAGTGACCATCACTGCGCCCTCACTGCAGCAGCGGTTCGCAGCGTGTGGCCCCTTCTGGAAGTGAACTGGTTTGCAAGCTGTTTGGATCTTTTGCCTGGAAGCCAGTTACTTTATGCTATAGCAGGTTCTACTCAAATAGATGGACCCATAACGGTTTGCACACAGGCTCAAGAACAGAAACCTACACGACTATATAAGTAGGCTTCATATTATGCGATTCACAAGGGAGTTTTGCCTTAATGGGATGTTGCTGCTGTTATGCAAAGGGATCCCCTTCAACATAGCGGGGTCGAGATTCGACGGGCCACCGAACCGGGTCCAAACTTGCAGAGGCAATAGAATCTAGGGGCCTTAGTAATGAGACCAGGGTTTTGGTTCCCGTTATACTGTAATTCTAATAAGGAGCCCCCAAAATACTGGCAGGTAATTATTTACTTGGAGGGTCGGGGGACTTAGTAAGTAGGTAGTAACTAGACTTATAAGTACCCTAAACAGGACCCTAATTGGGGTTATGGTACTTATAAGTCCCTAAAATAACCAGTTACTATAAGTCCCCCGACCATCCAAGTAGGCCCCGAAAGTAGTGGCCTTAATTTGAACCGGGTTTTGGGTTTAGGGCTTAGGGGCAAAATATACTGTTCTAGGAACCTTGATGCAACAGTGCTGTAATTGTCCCAGGCCTCTAAATTGTGGAAAGCGTTGTAAAATGCAGAGTCCTAGCCCAAATTGGTGCAGCTCGTTCGGCAGTGCTACATGCTCTTTCTTTCCTGGTGTGAAGATTTGGGTTCGCGGTTGTGGATTAGGATCCTAGACCCCCAACCCTCGCCCCGAAACATGACCGCGCGATCCGAAATTCTGCAGGATACATGGGAATTTCACCTTGTAATTTTATAGTGAAATGCCGTACATCGGACTACACACGCACTTTTACTGGCATGGTAATTATGCTCATGTGTTTTCAAGCAAGGTAATTAGATTCCCACTTGTGTAGAGCTGAACGGCGGGATTCTTTTTGAACAACCAAGGACCCCCTACCAAAAAAGGCACTCAGCCAAGAAGCCTCTACGAAGCCCTGCAGTACTCCGAACAACTCGCCAAACCCTACACCCTAAACCTAAAAAGCTCGTTGAAAGACGTCGAAGCCGGCATGGACCGAGGTGGAGGAGTGGCGTTATCAGGTCCTTTTTCTGTGCCGTGGCCGAAACCCCTAAGCCCCAAGCCCCAAACCTGAAGCCTTGATCCGTAAGCCCTAAACCCTAATCCCAAAGCCCTAAACCCTAAACCCCTAAACCCTAAGCCCTACACCCTAAACCCTAAACCCTAAGCCCTACACCCTAAACCCTAAACCCTAAACCCTAAACCCCTAATCCCAAAGCCCTAAACCCTTGAACCCCAAAAAAATTGAAGCCCTAAGCTTCGAACCCTACACCCTAAGCTCCACTGGCTTCGGGCTGCGGGTTTCGGGACCTCGGGTCAGGACTTTCTAACCTTTGTTTTGGGGTTTGGGGTTTAGTGGTGTAGGGTTTCGGGTTTGGGGTTTAGGGTTTTAGGGTTTTGGGGTTTGGGGTTTAGTGGCGTAGGGTTTAGGGTTTGGGGTTTAGGGTTTTAGGGTTTGGGGGTTTAGTGGCGTAGGGTTTAGGGTTTTTAGGAGTGCCGGGTTTAGGGGTTGAGGGTTTCAGGAGTTCAGGGTTTAGGGTTTAGGAGTTCAGGGTTTTGGAGTTTGGGGGTTTGGGGTTCAGGAGTCCAGCATTTTGGGGTTTAGGAGTTTAGAGTCTAGGGGTTCGGGGTTTTGGGGGCTAGGGTTCAGGGTTGTACTGCAACCCGCAACCCTCTAGGCAATCTCCACATAGAGCCATCCAAGAACATTGCCCCAGTCAGCGCCCAGTGCCTTGCAGGGTGGGGTTTGGACTTCCTAACATTGTTATAAGATCGCCAGAGACTCCAACATCCCTTAATTAGGAATATACCTTAAGTTATAGCAGGATCCCTTATGTGACTTAAGGTATTTTCCCTACTTAAGACGCCAGGCTCTTCGAATGGTCTCAGCGGAGCATCTCCGGCAAAACCATGGCGGAGTTCGCCGGAAGGCCAGCCCGAAAGCCTACCTTAGGGTTCCTTTAAAGGGTTACTATAAGGGTTCCTTTAAAGGGATCTATAAGGGTTCTATAAAGGGTTTAGGGTTTAGAGTTTCCGAAAAGTAGGGGCAGCTCATTTTGGGGTCCTTATAGTAAGGGTCCTACTATGCAGGGTACTATATTAGGGTCCCCTTTTCTCGGAAACTCCCACTTGTGTTTTAAGGGTCATACTCTTTAATTAAGGGGTCATAACCTACTATTCTGTAGAGCAGGTAAGCCCTAAACCCTATGCCCATGCCCTTTTGGAATCGCGCTGAGTGTCGGAGTTGTCGAGTTGGGGACTGTGGTGTTGGTTTCCAAGTCTTCGGGGTTTCCGGTTTCGGGCTGGCGGATTCTTCGTGCAGGCTGTTGTGGCTACGGGGTTGATAAAATGTGGTTTAGAGGTTGGAAAGCCCTAAACCCAAAAACCTGTACACCGGTTTGAAGGAGTATATACCTGAAGATCCAAAAACCTACTGTTCTAAGGGTTATACCCCCTAACTAAGGGGTCACAATCCACTGCTCTGTAGAGTGTAGGGATACAGGTACCTAATCTAGGCTAACATAGTAGTTCCATTTCGTGGTTCATATTCAGAATCCTATAAGGTAATCCGACAAAGGAACTACTATGGAGCCTCTGGGCAGGCACAGCAGTTTATACGGGATTGGAGTAGTTTGATACGGTTGATGATATAAATCCTGCATTACCTTACGGACCCTCACCTATGGGAATTATGGTATATTCCTTATTAGTCATGCAGGATTTGTATCATCAACCCTAAACCCTAACCCCCCCCCCCCCCAAAAGATCCCTTAAAGGAGCCCCTTATAGCGGTACCCTTATAGATCCCTTTAAAGGGACCCCCCAGGATTTATATCATCAACCGTCGAGTTTTGGGGCTGAGCAACCCTCAGAGTCGGTCCTGTGGGCTTCGGGACACTCCCTCAGGGTTCATGTGCGGGTTTAGGGGTTTAGGGTTTAGGGTTTTGGGGTTTAGGGTTTAGGGTTTAGTAGGGTTTAGGGTTTAGGGTTCATTAAGGGTTCTATAGGGTTCTTTAGGGTTTAGCTCCTGTAAGGGTTCTATAAGGGTTCAGTAAGGGTTCTATAGGGCTTAGCTCCTATACGGGTTCTATAAGGGTTCAGTAAGGGTTCTTTAGGGTTTAAGGGTCCATGTACCCATATAGTATATACAATTTGGCATCAAAGTAGTCCCTAGATAGTATACTTTGGTGCAAATGCATGTAGTATTTGGGCACATGGACTGTTAGGGACTAGGACAGCTAGGAATCAACAGGCTCAGCATCATTTGTCGCTTTGCTCTTTTGGGAACGGAGGTGGAGGGTCTGCTCTGGCGACCGGGGCAATAAATGAGCGTGCTAATGTTTTTTGTAAACCCCTAAATCCCAATCCATACCCAGAGGGTCCAAGTACCGAAATAGTAGGGTTTCAGGTCCCAAAATCCATACTCTGAATGGGTTTTGGACCTTGAAACCCTACTATTTGGGTACTTGGACCCTCTGGGTAAATCCCAATCCATACACACCCAAACCTTCGACAAGTCTGGGGCATGTCAGGGTCTTCCGGCCCCACGGGTTCACAGGATCGGGTCGAACCAGCACCGCGAAGCATGACTGGCTAGGCCTTAGGGTTCTTTAGATATTTCCTTATTGGGTTTATAATTATAAGGGCCCCATAGAAACTAATATTTTTCAAAGGGCTCTGCAGGCCAACCCAGAAAAAGAGCAGAAGCGAGGCCTCAAAGATCTGAACAGATCCTTGCAGAAGAGGCGCGTGTGACACGATGAGGAAAACGAGGCTATCGACCAACCCAGCCGGAGAATGGTTGACAGGATGGATCGCTTCGATACTCAGGCATTCGGGCTTGGTGTTTAGTGTTTAGGGTTTATAGGGTTGCGGAGAGGCAGAATTTAAGCTGAAGTCTTTGAGCCCAATAGCCCTTGACCTTTGTCCTTAGAGCCTTACACTAAGGGTCCATGTGCCCAAGCAGTACAAACTTTAGCCCCAAAGTACCTATGTAGGGATTAGGTTTAGGCCAAAGTACATGCATGTAACTATCTACTATTCGGGTACATGAACCCTTAGGGTTAGGGTTTGCCTGGCGGCTCAGTCAGGTATCCTGATCCGCACGTGCAGCTTCTCATCGACATGGTGACAAAGGAGTGCTCTCACTGCGCGGGAAGTTGGCTTCTCCCAGGGGATATTACCCTCACGACAAACCCCTACACCCAGTTCCCACGCCTAGATTCTTGGGGGAAATACCCTCACCCCAAACCCCTACACCTAATTCCCACACCTAGCCTGAAGTTTTCAATCTTGGGGCTAATGGACAAAGCCGAAGTCTCGACTGTATAGTTACATAGAGCCTCTACCTTACGGGTCCAAGTACTTAATAAGGACATACTAATCCGAAACCCAAGTACTCGCACCTAAGTTCTACAAGTAGCTCCTTTGGAACCCTGTGGTTTTATGCAACATGCTTGGAGGATCAAGCGACTTAGTAATGGCAAGGAGGGGTAGATATACCTACATATATCAGGATGAAAAGGTAGTTATAAGTATTGGTACCTCATTTATAGCTCCAGATACTTCGCCCATGATCCTGTAAGTATCCGTCTCGGCAGTATGGGAGTTTCAGAACCTGTTGTGATTTTTTGCCTTGAAGCCGGGCAATCCAAGCACCAGAAGAATTAGTAGGGGGCGGGCTCTTCAGCTTCTACTGCCTGCACGACTTGCTGAACGCAAGACTGTGAGCGGCTCCCGGAAAAATATTTTGCGGAAGCATCCCGGATGCCACAGCTCCCGCCAAGTGGCGAACTTCCAGTGTGGCACTTCTCTGGGGTGAGAGTAAGGGTGAAGACTTTTGGTCAGTGGTCATAGACATGCTCGACATCGGCATGATCTATGACTGCACTCCTGGACCGGGGTCTCTGGCGAATACTGTCTTCAACTGCCCAGAAGTGAACTACGTGGGCAGTGTGCCAGAGTGAGGAGCATCTCACTTGGCTCGGGAACGTTCATTGCCTGGGGTTCCTGCATATATATATATATATATATATATATATATGGCAGCAGTCTACCTATTTGGGCCGAGTATGAATACATTCACCGACCTGCAAGCCCCTTAGTTGACGTACCCGGAAGTTTCCGGGCTGCAATATTTTGGTTTACGGTATGCTATATTATCAGCCTGAACAATCAGCAATATCATTCGCCGGCGTTCTGTATCATACCCAGCATACTATCGTCCTCCTAACACCTTACTCGAATTACTAAGGCCTTTCCACTACGAACTTTATTGTACAAACCTACAGATCTCTAACGGCCCTTTAGAAACGCCTCAAGGCAGCATATTTTCCAAGAAGCAGATGAAGTTTTCGTCTTGTTAAGGGGTGAGGATCTGCCTGGGTCCTCGGGAGGACCTTCTGTCTCGGATTTATTACTATAGAACCCTAAGTGGGTGGTTGTCAAAATTAGGGTCCCTTTTTGGGGTCCTTAGTATAATACGGCACCTAGTATTTCGGGTACCCAAAAGGGACCTAATTTTACAGCCACCCAAATGAATACCAATATTATTCCTTGGGGCTCCTTCTTAGAAATATACAAGAACGGGGTGGAAGGGTTGCAGGGTTTAGGATTTGGGGTTTAGGGTTTAGGGTGTAGGAAGGGTTGTAGGTCAAGGATGTTGGTTACCTCTTTCTTAGAGGCTGAAGGGGTGCAGCAAGTAGGTTACATTCAGAGGCACAGTGAGGAGAATCCCAAGATTGATCAAGGAGCTATGTCACATCGATACCCTAAACCCTGAACCCAAAACCCTAAACCCTAAACCGTGATTTCGGGCTGTTCTCGGCCCTGTGTCCGAAATCCTAAACCCGTGCAAAGACTAGGGTTTAGAGCTCAGGGCTTTGGTCAAGAAGCTTGGGTACGGCCCCCATTCAGTTTTGGTTGACTAATATTTAATATATATATATATATATATATATATATATATATATATATATATATATTAGGACCTTAACAGTAGCCCTATTATCGACTCTTACTGTATGGGCGCCGTACCTAATCTAAACCCTTAGAGCCTAACAAGCTGCGATCCCCTCAATCCTCCCATCTGTTGCTCTGCAAAGGAGCAGAAGGAGAACATCTTACCGCCAGGCTGCCGTGGTGAGCTCCGGGTTTTAGGGTTGGGCCAAGGGGCTGAGAGTTTCAACGGTAGTGTTGTTTCCATTTTGGTAGTTCTCTAAATTGATTCTTGCTTAGGTCCAAAAAATGATACGGCTCCCTTACAAAAAGGCGATACAGACGCAGATACTTCTTGTTTCGGCTTCATCCTCCAGCTCTGCATCCAGAAGCTATCTATACTTATGACAACCGCAAAGCCTGAGGACAGGCATGTTGAATTGCACAAGAATGTGTGTTTTTAGGATGTCGTGAATGGACAGGCTGCAGCAATGCATGTGTAAGATGGCCGAGACTTGCATGTGTCGGTCGCCGGCATCAGGCGAAGTGGGGTGGGGTGAGTGGGATGGGATGGGGGTGGAGTGCGGTGTGCTGCCCAAGGAGTTATACCCAGCCCAAGCGAGTCTTGGTTTTGGCCCTCCGTTTTGGCCTCCATTTCCGCCCTGCATTTTTTCCGGCTCTCCATTTTGGCCCTCCATTTCGGCTCTCCATATTACTTGGCCCTCCATTTTGGCTCTCCATTTTGGCCCTCCATTTTGCCCGGCCCTCCATTTCGGCTCTCCATTTCTCCTGGGAAAAATGGAGAGCCGAAATGGAGGGCCGGGCAAAATGGAGGGCCAAAATGGAAAGCCAAAACAAAGGGCAAAATAAAATGGAGGGCCGAAACGGAGGGCCGGGCAAAATGGAGGGCCAAAATGGAGAGCCAAAATGGAGGGCTAAAGAAAATGGAGGGCCGAAATGGAGGGCCAGAATGGAGACCCTCTGGATTTGGGCACCCCACCCCACTCCATCCCGCCCCACAAGGAAAGAACGGTTTCAACAGCCCCTGCATTTCCCGCTCATCTGCACAACCAGCTCCGGATCACAGGGAATATTCTTGCATTCTGGCCATCCATCTTTGGCGGATGCCCGTCCATTTTGGCCCTCCTTGTCTTAGGCTGTTCCGGTTTTCATAAATCTATACCCTATCAATAATGAGGTACTTGTGTTTAGGCTTAGGGTAGCAGTTATGCAGGTTCGTATTTGGGAGAGCATATGCTTATTGCGGACTCGGACGCATAGAGCTATACATCCTAAACCCAGAGTTCAAAACCCTAGTTGACCCTTCTGGATGCCTGACTCATGCAGACGGCGCAGGGCCTTGAAGAGACTGATTCCTGCTGTAAGCAACCCCTCAATGAACTACCCGAAGCCGGCAACCCCCCCAGGACCCACACACTAACAACGCTTTAAGGGGCTAAGGTCGAAGAAAGCAGGCAAGTAGAGTTACACGATCTTCTTCTTTACAACATATGGGCCTTTAATAGTTGCCTATACTATTTTTGGGCTATAACTATGGTTCCAAAACTCTATTTTACCCTGAGGGTCCAGGTATCTCCTGGGGAGGGTCCGGAATGTGTTAGGGAGCGTCCTTGGGTCTCTTTGGGGTCTCAGAAACCGTCAATTTTGAGCTTCCCCAATTTGTTCGGACCCTTAGGGTAACTATCAAGGTGCCTACTTGGAGAGTCGGGGGACTTACTGAGTAGTTATTTTAGAGAGTTATAAGTACCATAACCCCAATTAGGGTCCCTCTTAGGGTACTTATAACTCTGCTTATTACCTACTTACTAAGTCCCCCGACCCTCCAAGTATACTATCAAACCCCAAGTCAAAGGATCCTAAGGACCCAGGTTTAGGGTTTAGGGTTCGAACCATATAGTACACTCTTGTGCCCTAAGGTAACTAAGTAGGGACTACATTAACGCCAAAGCATGTGATATATGGATACATGGACCCTTAGGGGTACGCCCTGAATCCCGAGACCTCGTCCGCTTAAACCCCCTAAACCAGTACTTGGAGGGTCGGGTAACTTAGTAACTAGGTGACAAGGTAGTAAGTAGACTTATAAGTACCTGAGTCCCCCCACCCTCCAAGTATCCTCCACATCCACATTTCGAGTGATGCCAAGCCCCATTTACGCTCTGGTATGCAAGACCCTAACAGACTCTAAGGCCCGCCCGGTTCATAGAACCTACAAGCTTTACACTACCTGAACCCTGCTGTAATAACTATGGGCCCAACAACGACCCAGAGACTCCAATATCCCTTAAATTAGGGAGTATACCTTACATCATATACGGGGTTCTACTGTATATAACTTACCTTAAGGACGAAATGAACCCTAAAAGGGTTTAAGGCTCATATACCATATAGGGATTCATAGTATATGGGTATAGGGCCCCGACTTTTAAGGGTCATTTCGTCCTTCAGGTTAAGGTCTATTCCTAATGAAGGGATATTGGAGTCTGTGGAAGTCTTAACGCACGAAACGCAAAGGCTTTGAGGAGCTCGCTCGCAAAGCCGCCGACAGAATCGAGCTGGGCGCCAACGTGGAGGAGGGGGTCCAGATGTTGATTTAGGGCTTTAGGGTATAGGGCTTTAGGAGGTATATGGTTTTGAGTTCTGATGGTTTGAGTCTTCAGGGTTTTAGGGCACAACGGGTCCAAGTAATGGCATAGTATATGCCTTTGCGGCCCAAATCCGACGAAGTACCCACTATAATGGTACTTGGACCCTTACGGGTTGATTTAGGGTTGTTCGGGTCTGGATTCCAGGTTTAGGTTTCCAGGCATAGATGTAGGGTTCAGAACGCGATGGAAAACTCAGGGCGTCTAGCTGAATATCTTTGTGATGGTCTTATAGGTTCCCAGTCAAAGATGACGGGTGGGTCATTCGAACAAATCCCAGTGCGTTCGTGATACTCCTGACTTTTTGGGATAGCATATTTATCAAGTTCGCGTTTTGGTGTATGAAAACTGCCAGCCAGTGACACAGCAATTCGGGTTACTTAGTTAGCTGTTTTCGGAGTGCCTTGGTGCTCCTTTGACCTCCCTACTACAGGGGTCGGAATAGTTTCAGTTCGCCTATACCCTAAACCTTACGTACCTGTATCCCTAAACCCTACAGAATAGTAGGGTATGAGACGTTACTTAGAGGGTATCGCCCTTAAAACAGTAAGTTCTTGGATCCCCATGTAAACGTAAGCTTTTAGGGTTTAGGGTTGAGGGTTTAGGGTTTAGGGTCTAGTGCCAAACGGGAGACGCGATAGATCGAGTGGTGTGTTCGTGCCGCCTTCCCAGTCTCATCGACGATCAGGCTTTCACAGATCACTACGGGTCAAGGTGCCTATAGGGTTTAGGGTTTAGGGTTTAGGGTACTCAGATAATTAATTACTCTCCCATGTTCACCTACATATTACATAACTACTATCCTCAACCCAAGTTTGTCTCAAGTCCTATTCTGTCTATTGTTGGGTCCCCGTTGGACCCTTGCGGGAATATGGCATAGGCCGCTCCTTTGTCAGGAGGGATGCATTTGTTTTTGGACTTACTGCAGGCGTTTGACAGATTGACTACAGGGCGCATTAAGCTGTGGCCCCTCCAGCTTGAAACAGGGCCTATAAGATCGGGTTCGGAACATGACACATAGTATCCCCTTACAGCCCGCGTGACAACTAAGCCCAATTTCCTAAACCCTAGTTATTCAGGCGCCTACCTCCTTAGTATGGTGTTTATAATCATATTCGATATGTATACACACGTATCGTTCCTGCTTGCTGTGATTCTGATGTGTTTTGATATTTCGCTTGTTACGGCCCCCGTGGTGCTCTCCCGCCAGGAGGCTGCAGCTGGCATACTGCTACCTGGAGAAAAGGGTGCAAACAACAGGGGACGCATTTCAAGCAGGATTATTCCTTCGGGTTCCATTCGTTCTTTCGTTACTTCTACTTCGCTAGTTATTTGAAGTCATTTTTCATTTAGTAAGGTATGTCCTTCTGTCGGTCGTTGTGTGTATATGTTTGCTTGTACTAGAATATGTCTTCAAACTCCAATCAGGGTCCGAAGGGCCTAGTTTCAGGGGTTTAGGGCTTAAGGGGTTGACGGGTTCAGGGTCTTGCTTCTATAGAATGAGTCGAGCAGGGGTTTTGCAGGTTGTTCCAAGGTCCAGGCGACAGATAGCAGCCGTATAGGCGTCTGAATGATTCTTACTACTATTCTTAAAGGCATCCTTAATCGCGTGTAAATATACGCCATATAAACCTGATCCCAATAATTATGACTCTGACTCTATATCAGGATAGTGTAAGGGTTGAGGCATTTCGGGTGTAGGACACCTACCGTCCTTGAAACCCAAACCCACTGTCCCAGGGCTAAACCCATAAACCCGTAGCTTCAAACATCCCAAAATGCCCCAAATCCCAAACTCCAAGCCCTGAATCGGGGTTCTGAACCTAGGGGTTTTCCGCAGAGTGGTGTGGAGTTATACGTTAAAGGGGTGCTAGCAACCCTCCTGCTTGCTGGCCATGAGTCCTGGTGTTCACTGTTTTTTTGCTGGGTATCTGAACGCCCAATAACATCTTTGACTCTGTTTACGGCTATCCGACTTCCCATCGCTCTGGTAAGTAATACCTAGCATTTCTCACAACCACCAGACTTGAGCAAGAAGATCTAGCACACTTCAGTGGGGATGTTGTTGCTGTTTTCGTTGTGGGTCGGCGCCATGAGCCCCCCCAGGCTCCTTGCAGAACACTGTGGGGACTGTTCGTGTGATTGTTTGGCCTGAAACCGATCATTCCAAGCTAAATCCAATGCCGATACACCCCTCCAATTAATGGGAGCCTGATTAAGACATCCTGGGCCTATAACCCCAAACTAGTAGGATTCATATAAGGAACACTAAAAAAGGCCCAAGGTCTCTTAAACAGGTTCCTACATTAGACTTTTGTTCCTGTTGCTTGCAACCTGAACTGGTTCCACGCGAAACCCAAGCTGGACCCTCATCCCCCAAAATCCTAAACCCTTTACTACCGCACACTGCGATTACGGTATTTTCTTTCCTGGTGGATCCCTAAACCTCGTACCCTAAACTAAACCCTGCACCCTAAACTTTTAACCCTAAAGCCTGAAAACCGCCCAACGACAGTAGCTACGGTGACCCCAGGGACGGCCTGTCCGTGCTGAGCCCACTTGAGCCGCATGGACCGTATTTGGGAGGATTCCATGATTCTGCGACAGGATTTACCCTAAGGGTCCAGGTACCTCGCTAGGAGGGTCCGGAATCTCTAGAGAGAGCTTGGGCCTCTTTGAGGCCCTCTGGAAGTCCTATTGTTGGATTGCAGAATTATGCGTCCTCATGTTCCCAGAAGTTTCAGGACCCTCTACGGAGTGCAAGGTTTGAGAGTTTAAAGGTTTGCGGTTGATCCGAGGGTCCAGAGTGGAAGGAACTATAGTTTCGAGCTTCATCTGGGCCAAGGTAATCCCCCAGAAGCCTTAAAGTAAAAGCCAGAAAGTTGGAATATGATTATCCTAAACCCTTTTATGGTAAATTAGAGGGTATCCTACCCTGAAACCATATTCCAACTTTCTGGAGTTCCCTTTAACCCTCAACCCTAGACCCCGGAACTGCAAACTCCGAAGCCGGCATCCCCAAACCGCTAAACTTTATCTAGGATGCCCAGTAGTACCCTTATTCCCTTTTTGTAGTCCTAGGTTCCTTATACAGTTACCCAATACCAAAAAGAGAGGCCTTTTTATTCTTAGGTTGCTGGGTATCCTAGTTTATACCCGAAACCCGACAAAGCTTCTTTGCAGTTAAAGGGAACTCCAGAAAGTTGGACTATGGTTTCAGGGTAGGATACCCTGTAATTTACTATAAAGGGTTTAGGATAACCATAACCATATTCCAACTTTCTGGCTTTTACCTTATTAGTAAATACTTTGGCCCCAATGTACCTATATAGGGAGTACTTTAAGGCCAAAGTATATACTATTTGGGTACATGGACCCTTATGGTATTTGCAGTTGATGGGGTTCGGCTCTTCTTCGCCGATCTTTCCATGAAAGTAACGTTGCGTTTTGCGACTGGCTGCGAGCATCCTCAAGCGGCATCGTAATCCGCGGAGCCTCACGCGAACATGTAGCTCTAAACTTTTTTAGAGTTTAGGCTTCAGGGTTTAGAGGACATAAAGTCCAGGCGGCGTTACCAGGACGCTAGTTTGTCATGTCCTCCTCCTCACTTGGCGAGCGCTTGTTCTCAGTACCGTGGTAAGCCCTGAACCGATACGAGCGCCACCGGAACCCTAAACCCTAAACCCTATACCCTAAACCCTAAACCCTATGAACATCCCCCCCAAAACTCGGTCATGAGGCTCTCCCTGGGGACCTTGGGCAATCTCTGCCTGTCCGGCTGCTCTCTGAAGCCTTTCAAAGAACAGCTTCCCGGTGCATGACAGTATTCAAACCCTATAAACCCTAGACCCTAAACCCCAAAAACCCTAAACCCCTATTTTTTAGGGTTTAGGGTTTGGGGTTTGGGAGCAACGGTTTCTTTTAAAGGGTTTAGGGCCTATAGATAATTACCATTAATAATAGCAGTTATTCCTTACGGGTCCTTCTTGTGATTGTACCGTGAGGTGCATGTAGTGCAAAGAGCCCAACAATGGTTCAGAGTTTTTAGGGTTTAGTGCTTCTAGGGTGGAGGGAACTAACGAACAGACTTTGGCGCTTCGATTACGAACCTTGCTGAGATTTGAAGTATGTTTCTTACTTTGAGGCGTTCGCTCTCAGCGCGACTATGCTGGTGTGGTTAAAGAGGGATATTCGTTCAGCGAAACTCTGAATCATAATTTAGGCTTCAACTCGACCCCCGAAGTACGTCGAGGAATTCCATTACAGGTGCTGGGCCAGTATTTTACATGCTCAGGGTTTAGGACTGCGACAATCGAAGGGTCCACATATAACACACATCAAGCTCATTATGGTTAGGGAGGCCTACAGTTCCATAATGGTAGTATCTGGACCCTCGCATGCCATGGAGGCGCTCTCGACAGCCTTCCACAACAGAAGCCGGCCGAGGCCGAGGATCGCCTTTCCCTGCTGCTGGTGGCCCTGGACCAAGTAGCAATAGAAGCCAAAAAGTTGGAAACCCAATAGCTTCAGTCCTTAAGAGTAATGTCTAGGAGTAATGTATAGGGAATCCCAGCACTATTTGGCCTTAATCCGGTTTCCAACTTTATGGAGTTTACTGTAGCAATAGACAAGGGCAATTGGGCCCTCGGCACGGAGATTCTTCTCGAAGCGCCTGTGCCCATGCACTCCTTCCGGGCCCAGGAGCTGATCCAGAGCAGGTCTTTTCCAGGATTCTGGACTCCAGACTCGCCGAGCTCTCCTTGCACTACCCAGAGGCTCCATAGTAGTTCCTTTGTGTGGTTCTGATTTAGAACCCTATAAGGTAATCTCAAAAAGGAACTACTATGGAGCCTATAGGTACCTCAAAGACCAAAGCGATTTTCTGGAGAAGCGCGCCAAGTTGGGAAGGAGGCCCACCACCAGTGCATCTCTGCAGAGACATTTTGCCGACTTCAATCATCCCGCAGCGCTTGCTGTTAGAAAGGAGTGGCTTGATAGTTGAGCAGGTTAGTGGGATTTAGGGTTGAGGGGTTTTGAGGTTTAGGGTTTAGGGTTTCGAGGTTTAAGCATGGATAGAATTACAAATGGCCTGAGTGTGGTAATCAGTGCGGCAAGCCTCTGTACCCTAAACCCTAAACCCTAAACCCTAAACCCCTAAACCCCTAAACCCTAAACCCTAAACCCTGCAACTCCCCTTGCTCTGCGCGCTGATAAACCCCAGATAACCCGAGGGCTCCAGCTATCACATAGTAGGTTGCTGGGGCACATAGTATAACGGTTTAGGGTTTAGGGTTTAGGGGTTTAGGGGTTTAGGGTTGAGGGTTTAGGGTTTAGGGGTTTAGGGGTTTAGGGTTTAGGGTTTAGGGGTTTAGGGTTTAGGGTTTTGCTGATATCCAGCAGGAAGATCCCTAAAGGGGTCGTTGGGTGTCTGGCCTCTTGGCCCATTATCAGCAGCATCCATGTCTTACGCCTAAGCAGCACAGACGACCGCCTAGCGAATTGACGTACACCACGCTTGTTTTTCTTGAGCCACACGTCCGTCGCATATGCTTCATTGTACAAGCTCGCACTTGCAACAGACTTCGGAAGATCTTATCACACATGTCTGCCGCACTGCACACAGGAATTTCGACTCTAACACTCCTCCTCACCTTCTGATCTAGTCATCTGGAGGTGTCAACACAAAGAGCGCTTGATTCCGATTGCAGTAATGGCACATCTCATACCTCTTGGACGCAGCACCAGCATTCCTCTGCCCATGACAGTACGAATTTAGATGCACACGATCTCCATGAGGCGTCGTGTAGAAGGGACCCCGATATTCGGCCAGCCGATTCGCCGGGATCGCGGCTGGTTGGGGATCCGTCTGAGTGGCCTGGGTCGTTACCGACCTCCTTTGTGTCCTTGTGGTTGTAGGTGAACGCATCATCTCTTCGACTCTTGACGTTCGTGTAGTAGGAGGTGAACGCATCATTTCTTCGACCCGACTCGACATCATACTTGAGCTGGGTCCTGATAGAAGTCCTCCTTGGCGTCCAATTTCATCATGAACAGCTGCCTGGGCTCGATCACGGAGGCGCTCAAGTCGTTTCTGCTTCCTTCGCATTGAAGAAAACCAGCCCAGCACCCCCTTGTAGGCCCTCTTTAGCAGCTCCCAGACGGCGACAGCCGCGATAACACACACGACCGCAACCGCGTAGAACTCCAACGAACCATCAATCTGTATGTCCTCCTTCGCACCCTGGACGCCCTTGATCAAGCAGACGCACATTATCATAAACAGTAGCACCCCATTGCGATTGGTCACCCGCAATGCCCTCAAAGCTGCATTCGTAGCCTCTTGTACTGCACACGGAACTATCTGCCATAAATCCATCAACATTTTGAACTTCGGCAGGTCAAACCCTTTTGTGCCAAGGTCGGCCTTCTGCATACTCCCACAAACATGCGAAATCACCAAACGCTGCGCTGCCACTTCCTGCCTCAGGAACCTTGCCCTGATTCGAAGGTGTCTGGTTTTCCAAGTACCTGGGGACTCGCTTGCCAAACCCTGCGCTGCCGCATTGTCAATTCTCAAATGCATCACCGGGTTCATCTGAAGCTCCCCAAGCAGTGCACATACTCCCAGACCCAACTGAACCGCTGCACAGCCCTCATACAACTCTGCTTCGGCCACTGACAATGTAATAATCGGCTGCTTGGATGCACGCCATGCAACTGGCATTCCAGCAATCTGTGCCATCGTTGAACCATACGACCTTCCCCCGCCCGGCGCGTAGCTCGCATCTGAGTACACCACCATAAGTGGATCTTCCGCAACAACTCTGTACCAGATGCCGTACTCAACCGTCTTCGCCAGGTACTTTATGACACGCTTACTGATTTCCAGGGCTCGAAGCGGTCGTTTAAGTGCACACGAAGCCATGCACCCGACTGCATGCGCCAACTCTGGCCTGCTCCTTGTAGAAAGCCACAGCGCCTCCCCCGTCGCCTTCTGTGCCAGCTTCACGGTGGCCTCCTCTGGCGTCTCTTGTTCATCATCGGAATCCGGATCTTGCAACCATTCTCGGCTGCACGGCACTGTAAGACCGCTTTCACGTTCCTCAGAAACACCATGCTGTCGTAGAAGATCACGTACATACCCTGTTTGTGATAGGTGAATGCCGTCTCCACATACACGGAGTTCAATACCAAGGAACCTCAACGATCCATCTTCAACCCACTCCAAATCCGAACATTTCCAATCCGCAACCAACCAAGCATAGACCCCCTTGACAATGTCGGTAGAGCTCATCATCAAGATATCATCTACGTAAACCAGAACAAGACCTTGGATCTCTTCCTCGCCGGCGTAGGTAACCTTCCACAAGTTTTCATCGGTAGTCGTAGCTGTTAGCACCACAATGCGGTCACCCACTGGGATCTGAGCCTCGTTGAACCGGCAATTTCGGAACTCTCCCCAAAGCCTTGGCGCTTCTCTCAAACCGTAAAGCACCCTGGTGATTTGCCAGGTTTCTCCTGGTAGCGCACCTCCAGCTAACACCACTATTGTCGGCGGGGTCAAAGCGTAGGATAGCTCCTTGGGCATAGGGGCCAGCGTGAATGCATTCGCCACATCTGTGCTCCCGATGCGCCAGCCCATCTTCACCGCCAGAGCCACTGCTATGCGCAATGTGTCCGCCGACGTGCCTGAGGCATACACATTCTGCCCATGCGCCGGCAGGAAATTTCCGCACACCACAACCCTGCATTTGCGGCGAAACCTTGAGGACCCCTGGGCATCAGCAGGAGGTTTGACAGTGAATACTGCCTTGCCAGGCAGCACCACCAGCCCATCTTTCCTCAGCTCACGGGTTTGCTCAGGACTCAAGCGCTTCACTGTTCCCGAGTCGATCAAAGCGTTGACTTCCTTGAGGATTGCCTCTGTCCAAAGTTGGATGTACTTTTTGACTTCCGGTAAGCTAACATTGTGCACCACCTCCAATGGGCCGCATAAAGCCTTCAACAGCTCTTCCACCTCAATGTCCTTAGCTTCTCCGGGAGAAACTTTTAGAACTCGTCTCCATGCCCTGTGCTGCAACTCCTCCAACTCCTTGCCGCACTTCTCAAAGGCAGCCTGCAACTTTTTCATGTAGACTGACTCAGCATCCTCCCCCTGGCTCGTCATCGACTCCTCCTGTAGTTCACATCGAAGAACACGAGCCCGCTGTTCAACCTCCTCCTCAGCCAAACTCTGGCCAGAAGTTGCGTCACTAGTTTCACTGCTATCGCTCCAAGGCTCATCTTCAATATCATGTACATGAACTCCCGTTCCCTCCAAAGGAAACCCGCACCTGTTGAGGTAGGCAATCGGACTCGGAGGGATGCACTCCACAGCCAGCGGCGTAAATCCTGCAATGATCCACCGATTGTCATCTTCCAACTCCACATAGGAATGCAGCTTCTTAGGGTCAAAGACCGCAACCTTGCCCTTGATATCAACCACACGCCCTTGAGCAACTGAGCCATCTGGTAACTCTTTAGGAAGATCACACCCCTCAGTTCCGTCACCATCACAAACTTCATGAGCATCCGAAAGCCATAGCCCTTTTATCTCCGGCTCGCCTACTTCCATCACGAAGTTCGGGAGACCTGGTTGATTTCGTTGATCGCGATGTGGTGGTATCTCTTTTGCTCTGAACACACCCAACGTTGTCCATCTCGGGTTCCAGGAAGTTGTTTCCATAGCCCTTTGTCTCAGCACCATATTCAAGTACTTCGTGAGCCAAGGCCTTTTCATGGTCGCCCGAGTCACACCCTTCAAACCACCATGTACATAACCTCCAAGAACCAAAGCCGATGTGTTCATCCCTCGTGTCTTTCGTCTTGACTTAGTTCCCAAGTAGAGGTCGCGCAACACATCAGCACACGAAGTCCCATCAAACTTCCCCATGTTGTAGTAGTATCGAGCCCTTTCCTCTTGAACCCGTACCAAAGATCTCATCGTCCATCCCGAGGGTCCTCGTCCCTCGTCAGCTGCTTGAGCACCAAATTCCCTGAGAGCTCGAAGCGCTGGAGGGGGTTGCTTCCCCGAAAGTCGATGGTCTGGTTGAGGTAGATCAACAACTGGAACTTCTCCTACAGGTATTTCGCCAACCCCACCACCATCCTCACCATCTTCTTCAAGTAGTGCACGCGGGTCAACAACTCCTGTTTTTAGGTTCAGGGTCTCGGTCAACACACCCGTAGAACGCAGGACGATCGCACCTCCCTTGATGGTATCCGACAACCCCAAATACGTGCCCTCCTCCCAACGGTCCGTGAGGTCATACTTCTTGTTGTTGCCGAACACCTTCCTCCGTATCATCACCTTGGAACCGAAAGGTAGTAGCTGAGGTTTGGTAAGTCCGAGCCGTTCATATATCCGTCGATTCGCAGCATGTTGCATTGCCAGCGGCCAGTACTTCAGGCCAATCTTTGCCTCTGCCATAAGGACCTTAGCCATCGTCTTGAACCACCGCACTCCCCTTTCAGCTGCTCCATTTGTTTGGGGCACCAATGCTTCCGACCGGGTGTGGTAGATATCGTGATCAAGTAGCCATTTTCGTAGTCCCTTTGAGGCAAACTCCGAACCTCTATCCGAGTGAAGCCTTGCCACCGGCAGCCCCATCAACTTCAGCCGTAGAACTGCTTCTTGAACCGCCAGCATCACATCACCTCCACGCCGCGCTCTGACCGGGTACACCATGTAGATCGTGTCCATCTCAACAGGCTTGGTAAGGTCACCAATGAGTCTCTCCCAAATCTCCTCGTCTTTTCGTAGTTCGTTTTCATCCTCTAAGACTTCTGCTGTAGAGATTCGAAAGGTTGACCTCCCCGTCCACATTCGCTCCAACGATCTCGCCCCTGACTGCGGTCCATGCCAATCTGAGGTCTCCGTATCCACACCGCCGCTGACATACTTCACCTCCGTGACCCTCGTATAATCCAGCTTCCCAGGAGGTACTGGACAACCATTCCACGAAGTAGGCCGAAACAGCTTGGTCCTTGGAGTTACATGATGCCGTATCAACACCCCAGTTCCCTCTCTGAACTCCCACCAATCGTCCGACACTTCCTTCTTCTTGGCTGCCCTCGCTGCCTTTAGCTCGCCGGACATCTCAACTGCTTCTTCCCATGGTGCCTCAGGACGCTCCGCTTGTACGCGACGTAGCTCTGCTAGTTCTTCGGGAGATAGTTCAGGATCAGGTCCATCATCAGGTTCATAGTCGTACATGTCCTCGAACTCCCCCATCAAACCTTCATCGCTGCCATCCTTAGCATCCAACGACCAACCATCTAAATCTTCATCCGGTACAGGTTGATCCTCCGGGACCATTTTTTGCTTCGGGAACTGGTACGTGAACACCACTGCATATCTCTCCCCTTTGGTCCCTGCCACCCGCACTGGTCCCAGTGTATCTGCACTCAGAACATAACAGTCACGGTGAAGGCACTTTCGATGGGGTCGCCCAGTAGCATTGTGAATACACTGTAAGCAATCAGGACGATAAGGGATATGGTCGTTGGCCAAGTGTTTCTCCCACATCCTTCTGTCCGACGCCTTGAGTGCCCTCACCAAACGGGTATGCCATCCAGGACGCTGCTTCCATCTGCGCAAACCACGCACCAACGCCCTGACCATCATTGGTGCCCAAGACGACCATGAGCCTGCTTCCTGTTCCCCGTTTCCTCGACTATCTTGGACTCCCTTTAACTCAGACACATCCAAGTTCGTAGCCATCGTGGTTGGTCGTCGCCTGGGATGCCCAAGTCCTCCTTGTTCAAAGTGACACAGCTCCAGATGACTTTCAGCCACCCATCTCCGGAACCACTTGAACACCCATGCCAACGACGACTCATCCTCCTCAGCCTCCGAAGACGCCCACAATGAAAAAGCCACGCCATCAACTGGAACATCAGCTGCCGCACACATGGCCTGACGTCCCGCCATTGCCACTTCATGCAACACCACAGCTCGCAAGGTATGCTCCAGTGCATTGCTCCGTGGTAGACCACCAATGATGCCCGCGACCCTGCCTGTGGCTGCTCCCCATAACAACATCATGGTTACCCCTTGGCCCGACTTCAAAAGGTCCAACTGAGCAAGCCTCTGAACATCAATGTCCAACACCACGGTCCCATTGTTCTCCACCGCCTTGAACACTTTGTCCATAGGGGACCGCTTGCCGCTGCACAGCTTCACGATCCAATCTTTGCTCATCAGTCGCTTTCTCATCCTCCGGTTGAAACCTAAAAGCTGCATAAGGCTCCAAGCTTCCGCCTCCGTAGCGGGTAGGTCCACGATGATCTTCGCAAGGTCCTCCCGGATTTCTGTCGTAGCCCACGGCGCCGACGCGATTGCCCGGAAGCCATCCTCAAACTTGCCCATGGCGACGTACTCTCTCATACTTCTTTCCCAACACGGGTCCAGCTGCACTTCTCGAGCACGAACCATAGCCTGCTTCGTTTCCTCGGTCTTCTGCTGGAGCTGGTTGATCTTCTCCTGCTCGATCTGCGAAATTAGCTCCAACGCCGTAGCTTCATTCACTTCCGGACACCCCGAGGTCACCCTCAAAGTCAACTCTCGTCCCTCCGGAGATCGTAGCACGCATTTCTTCTTTGTCCACACCAGCTCATATCCCAGCACGCTCACCAAACTTCCAACAGGCAAAATGGTTTGCGCCCTTGTTGCCTCCGGCTCCATCAACAAGGTGCCCGTTGGGTTCTGGCGCATGCGCTTGACCGCGTCTCCAGCCACCACCACATCCACTTCATCTGCCCTTGTCCACTCTGCCGTGGAAGCCTTCCGTAGCGGGTGTGTTGCGCCCGAGTCCACCAAAGCCATCTTGTCCTCGTAGTGCCGGATCGCTTTCTTCAACATTTTCATGGAAGGGTTTCCCCGGGAAGCCGTCTGTTCTGTCATCATCTTAAGCACTTGGGTGGCATTCCTAAGAAAATCGTCCATGTCCTTTGCGGAATTGACGCCCTCCGCTGTAGCTGACCCCGAAGCAGACGACGACGAATCCATGGAGACCCCCATTGACGACGACGCTCCTGACGTCGGTGCCGTAGCCGTAGATGACGTCGTAGTCGCAGCCGCCGCCGGTGGCGCCGCTCCATCATCTCTCTTCCCGTCGTTGCCCTTTCCCAGGTTCCGAACACGTGGAGGTGCACCTTTTCCATCATCGCGCCGAGCTGCTTCACTTGCTCCTCGAACAGGACAGTTCTTTCGCATATGTCCTTTTCCTCCACAGCTCTTACATCTCTCGCTGCGCTCCTCCTTTGGGATATTGGACCACTCGTGCCCGAACTTGCAATTAGCTCTCTGACATCCCGCCTCCGACAAGTAAAACTTGCACGGCCTAGTTGTAGTAGATGACGTCGAGGGTGATTGCGCTCCCTTCTGTGGCGACCGATCTCCAGCATCCGCGTTCCCCGCTCCCATGGCCTTGATCGTTGGTGCCCCGGTGGTTGTCGATCTCGTTCTCCCTCGGTACGCAATCTGCTCGAACTCACCCAGGAGGTGGGTGTGGTATTTAACCACTGATGTCATCGTTGGCGTCGCATCCAGCTCCAAGCCATACCTCAGCATGTTGGCTCGGAACATCACTTCGTGGTTCTTTTCCAACTGGCTCCTCGCTGACTGGTCTAACCCCTTGAGAAGGATCGAAGGGTCCGGAACCTGTAGTCCTAGGTCCTGGGCCCGCTTCAACCACCGAGCCCACTTTCTCAAACACTCCACCAACTCCATAGGACTGTTCACGACTCCTGGTGACTCCAAGGCCTTCAACACCTGCTGCCGTTCCACCGCCGACCCCGGCCTGTAGATCGTCATAATCCTCGCCAGAATCGCCAAGGTGGAGTGCAACCTGTTCGCCAAGACCTCGGTGCGAATCGCCTCCGGTATTGCTTGCAAGAGCATCGAAGCCGCCCTCTTATCCACCCGTAGCCAGCGACTCTCTTTCAGCATCGGCGTCGCATAATCATCAGCTCGTAGTTGAAGTCGCTTTACAGCTGATGCCGAGATGTAGTCGCCGTAGTAGGAGTCGAGGCTTGTCACAACTTGTGCCCACCACTGCGCACTGCCGTCTGTCAAGTCTCCCATCGGGCCACTCAAGCCGTGCAGCCAATCCCCCACATTGATCGCCGCCATTTCGTCCGCTTCAACCAGTTTCGGCAGTTCCGCGCCCGATGTCCCGGGCCTGATTGCCTCTGGCTTGGAGGCGCTCATTCCCAGCTGCATTGCCATAGCTGTCTGTAATTGAGCTATTCCCTGAGCCAAAGCCTCCATAGGATCAGTTGATGCCACGGAACTCCTTGGAACCTGACTGCCTCGTTCTTTATCAGCTTCATCTTGACCACTGGAGATGCCCTGCGCATAGGTATTGAAACGACCACTGGAGATGCCCTGCGCATACTCATTAAAAACGCCCCCTTGCTCACGGTCATGTCCCGAAAGTCCTGCTGGATTGCTTCCGAACACACCATTCTTTCTATCCACCCCGCCAGTCTCGAGTCCCCCTTGCACGTCTTTTCGTAGATATTCTTGAAGACCCGGTGGAACTCCGACAGGATGCCCTTCTGACCCTCCATATTGCCCAAACCTCTCTGACGCACTTGCTCGAGGTGGGCTCTGACTTCTGGACCTCATAACGCCCCCTTGCTCACGATCATGTCCCGAAAGTCCTGGTGGATTGCCCCGAAGCACTCCGCGAAGCCCCAAGAAACCAACACCTCCCTGCGCTTCACCATGTCCCCGACGTCCACCTGGATTGCTTCCAAGTACATTTTCATGAACACGCTGTTGTCCTAGATCACCATGTCCGTGTCCTGCACCCGGGGGTCCTGAAGGATTGCCTGTAGATGCAACCTGTGGGATGAACGACACTGCTCTTTGCCCCTCACCACTTTGCTCTCTCGGTCCTCCAGAAATTCCCTCAGCTACATCTCCACGTCCTTGTTGAAGAACATCACCCCCTTGCTCGCGGTCATGTCCGGAAAGTCCTGCTGGATTGCCTTCGACAACGCCTCGGCCTTCACCGCCACGCGCCCCAGCACCGCTCCGCCCGCCAAGAGGATCTCGTTCTTGAATACCATCAGAGCGCGTACTTGCCGTAGTCGCCCCCCTTCGTAGCCTTTCCAACTCCATCCGTAGCTGTTGATTCTCATCAACCACACTTCGCTGAGAAGCCATTGCTTGTTCCACTTGCTTACGAACTTCTTGCTCAAGTTGCTCTCGGGTATAGGAAGCTGAAGAATCCGAGCCTCCTCCACCACTCCGCGCAACCGCACCGTAAAGCTGTGGTGCTCCCGCGGTCATTTCTCGCAAGCGCCTAATCTGAGACCTATCGAAAAGTGGCTCGGTCTCAGCTGCCGCTGCCTGGGATGCCGTAGGCGACCACAATGTCTCTTGCACCACAGTGGTTTGCTCACCTGGGCGGGATTGAGTCACATATGCCGCACGCCGCTGCACGAACTCACCCAGCTTGGCAACCCACTTCATCGCTGCAGCACCCACCAGATTAAATCCCTGTGAAGACTCACCAGTGGACACCGCTTGCGACGTCGGAGAAGGAAACGGAGATGGCAACAAAAGCGCCTGAGACTCCGCTCTGTCACTGGACTGCTGCTGAACACCAGCATGAGGAAATAGCACTGGATCATTGCCCACGCCACGTCCTGAAGCCGGCGACGCAAACACCTCATGACCGACCCTCGACATTCTTCTTCCTGTCTGCATACCACGATCACCAGCCCCAGCATCACTACCAATTCCAGGCAAATTGCTATCAGGCTGACTCTGCTCTGTTCTTGCTCCCACTGGCCCCGGAACTGCATCTCCATCACCAACACTCCCACCAGCAAAACCATGGCCGGAATGAGGTTCCGTCGCGCCGAGTCCGGTTGCCGCTAAGGCACGCTCATAGGCAGCCTCGTCTGCAGGAATCCTCCTAGGTCCTGGCATTACGCCGTTGGGCCTTTGATCTCCACGAACTGGGTCGATCTCCTGCGCAGCTTGCCCACTTGGGCTCATCACCTGCTGATATCCAGCAGGAAGATCCCTAAAGGGGTCGTTGGGTGTCTGGCCTCTTGGCCCATTATCAGCAGCATCCATGTCTTACGCCTAAGCAGCACAGACGACCGCCTAGCGAATTGACGTACACCACGCTTGTTTTTCTTGAGCCACACGTCCGTCGCATATGCTTCATTGTACAAGCTCGCACTTGCAACAGACTTCGGAAGATCTTATCACACATGTCTGCCGCACTGCACACAGGAATTTCGACTCTAACAGGTTTAGGGTTTAGGGTTTAGGGTTTAGGGTTTAGGGTTCAGGGTTTATATAATCTACTAAATCAGATATTTATAGGTAACAGGAGCCGCCAGGCCCCAGGGAAACCCTCAAGCCCCCCAGACCTCCTTTGGAGGGTCCAAAAAGTAGATCCCGCAATGGGGGGTTCCTATAGAGCACCCTTAGTAGTATAGGGCCCCAAACCAGGGGATCTACTTTCCAGATCCTCCCGGAATTCAATCAACCCAAAGGGTTGTTAGGTACTGTTATGGGGGATACTTCCCCAAATCATAATAGTAATTCCTACTATAGAAACCCTACATTCTACTATATAGGTACTTTGGACCCTTAGGGTATTCTGGGTTAAATAACTACTAATCCTATTGTGGGGGTGCCTTATGATAACTCTAGCATAATTAAAGGGCCCAGAATTCAAGCCCGCCAAGGATTCTTCCGCTGCTCCCGCGCTTAGTTGAGGCTGTTTCGACGCACTTGAGCAGCTCAGCGAGGATTCAGCTCTCTCTCTGGTGGGGCCTCTAAGACTAGGTAGAGCTTTGGGACGGTTTAGGGGTTAAGGGGTTCAGGGTTTAGGGGTTCAGGGCTTATGGTTTTGGATTCAGGGGATTAGCGTTTTAGGGGTTTAGGGTTCACCCTAAGGGTCCAGGTATCTCCTTCGGAGGGTCCGGAATCTCCTACAGAGAGCCCTTGGGTCTCTTTGGGGTCTCAGAAACCCTCAGTTTTGAGGTTCCCCCATTTGTTAGGACCCTTAGGGTAGTGGGGCCCTTCAAAAGGAACACCAAGAAAGTATAGGTAATTACTGAGGCCCCTGTATTAAATCCTTATCATAGCCCTGAGAATGACCCTTATGGACCCTTTTGAAAGGAACCCATCGGTAATTACTATTGCCCCATCACAGCTTCCCTGAGGCTCCTCTAAGGGATCCTGTAAGGGTTCCTTTAAGGGCTCCTATATGGGATCTATAGGGTTTAGGGTCTAGGGGACTCCAATATCCCTTAATCAAGGAATATACCTTCAATCATATTAGGGATCCTACGAGAGTTGCAGGTATCTGGCGCCTCCACTGTACTTCCTCAGGGCCTGTTATAAAGCGCCTTCTAAGTGTGAACGAACCCCGACTCGGCGAGAAAGACCCCCACAAACCCCCGAAGTTCAAAAGTATCAGCACTAAACCCTTCACCGTTGTAGAACCCTTACAGAACAGAACTTTCATAGAACGTTTCTGGAACCCTAGATGCTCAACCCCAGATGCTTTAACTAGCCCTCTACTAAACCCTACTAGACCCTAAACCCTAAACCCGGGTTTAGGCATTTAGGGGCTTAGGGTTTAAAGAGAAACCCACTCAAACCCCAAACCCAAAAAATCCGAAACCTGAAACCCAAGTTTAGGGGTTTAGGGTTTAAACGAAAGCCCTATAACTTCGCCCTGCAGAACCACTTGACTGGCGCGTGTGCGGTCGCGCTGCGGGGGCGCTCTGCAACATTCTGAGGCCTCAGAGCGCCAAAAACTTAGGGGTGTAGGGGTTCAGGGATTAGGGTTGGGGGTTTTGGGATTCGGGCTGGGGTTTAGGGTTTAGGGATTATGGATTAGAGGTTTTGGGGTTTATGGTTTAGGGATTAGGGGTTTAGGGTTTAGGGTTTACAGGGTCGGGGATCTAGTGTTCGGGCATACGTTTCAGGCTTGAGGCTTAGTTGGGGTTTTAAGGCGTTTTGTGGTGTTGTTATTCAAGGCTAAGTGTCTCATAGGTTTTTATGGTGTTCAGTGGGATGCTCGTCTAGCTAAACCTTGAGGCTTTTGGTTTGGGGTTCCGGGGCATCTTCAGTTATGCAGTTATACCACGTAAATCTGCAACAAAAGGTACATCGAATTGAACAAGGTCCTCACTGTGGTTTAATGGGTTTGGAGGGGGGCAAGGGACGAGAGATCCAAGACGCCATGCAATACCCAAAATCTCCATCCTATTTGTTCAGGCCTCTAAATCAGCTCTACATCGTAAACCTTCAACCCTAAACCTTTACAATCATAGATCGACTCGGGATGTTCGGGCAGATGTAAAAAGGAGTTCAAAAAAAAACTTTACAATCATAGATCTGTAAATTCGGGTCTCTTTTGGGGTCCTCTTTATCAGGGTGCCTTCAAACCCTAAATCTTAAAAGGAGTCCTCATGCAGAGAACTCGCTTTGTACAGGTTGGGCGAGCCGGCCGCAGTGGAGGTGGAGAAGCAACTTGCCTGTAGGGTTATAGGCTGTAGGGTTTCTTTTGGTTCCAGAGCTAACCTTCTAACCTACCAAAACCTACTTTTTGGTAGGGTCGCTTTAAAATCCGGATAGACCTTCAGAAAACTAGGGTTCAAGGTTTAGGGTATCTTAGGGTTTCAATTCGAAGAAAGAGCAGCTAGGACAAGAGAAGTACATGGAACGATTATGAGAAAACTTAGCGTGTAGATCTGTATTCACAGCTGTATGTAGGGTACGTAGTCCCGTGAACTGCAGATAAACCCATACTTACTAACCCAAAGGGTCCAAGTATCATTATAGTATATACTTATCGGGCATTTTGGGGGTCTAAGTATGTACCATGACAATCCTTGGACCCTTTGGGTAACACCATGAATCTTCTAGGCAGGACCCATGACCCATCATGCACGGTAAACCTTGTGACCTGAAGACCGTAGCGGCCAGGTTGCCACGTTGGTAAGGCTTGTTGTCAGGGTTCAATGGTTTGGGGCTTTGGGGTTCAGGTTTGGGGCATCGCGCATCATGCAGACAGCACTAGTCAGTAGCTGTTCGGAGCCTGCCAGCAGATAATATCAGGGTCAACAACAAAACTACTATGCATGATGCTCTTCCTCGGGGCTACATATAAACAAATATAGTCTGATTCATACACCACGAAACCACTCTGGAGGTTGCAGAGTTTGGGGTTGTTGGCTGAGAGTAACGGTTTTGTGCTGCAGGGTCTAGGGTTGGGGGTTACAGTAGCTCCGTCAACTGCAATCATCAGCGTAAGAATGACACAAGTAGATCCAGATAATCCACATAGGATACCTGCTTTGAAACCACGACCCCTAAACCCTAATTAATCTAATCCCCTGAGCCCTAAACTCTAAACCCTCATAAACCCTAAGCCTTAAAAGCCATTGTGGCAACCCCTCTCCTCTAACAGCTCAGGTCAACCAAGCTGCTGGTTACCGCTACTTGCTTCTTCTGCTGCCACCCTAAACCCTAAACCCTAAAACCCTAAAGGCTGAACCCCGGCCCACTACACTCCTCGCCCGAATCGCCCCGTAGACCCCTTATGCTCTTCGTTTCGGGTGTCTCCTCATTCAGACTGAATAGGCGAAGACAGGATACATTTGTTCTCACGCAAATGTCGGTGAACCTCAAATCTTTCTTGTTCTTGCTTATCAAACTCCTTCGACTGATGTTTGGGGTTTAGGAGTTTAGGATTCAGGGTTTTGAGTTTAGTGTTCAGGGCTTGTAGGGCCTAGTATAACAAGGAACCTCTAAATAGTATCGGCAAGTATACGGACCCCTATATTAACCAGTACGATGTATCCCAAGGCTGCCTAAACCCGTAAACCCTGAGCTCAAGCGCACGGAACCCGAAAGCCACATGCCTCCACGTCTAGTCGGCAGGCTTTCAGCGTGCATCAAGTAACTTTCCCCCCAACCACGAAAGCACAAACGATACCCTCACATCCCGATTCCCAAAAAAACCGCACATTCAGTAACGAAAAGTGACTCATTCCTCGAAGGTGTTGGGAGCTGTTTCTTTGAAACTCATGCTTCGGGAGTCCTGGTTGAGAGGTCAGAGTGGCTGCTGTGTCAGAATTTGGTTCCTGGCATGGTGACTGGTGTAGGGACTTGCTGCAGGACCAGACATACCTGGTCAAGTGCTTCGATGTCTTCGTGCTGCCAACCCATGCAACGCCCTTTGATTTGGGGTCGGCACGATTGCCCCCAAAAAGTGTGCCGGTCGACATGCAGACCCTACTTTGGCGGCAACTGCTAACACAAACTTGCCGACATTGCTTGTGACCAAGCAGCTGCTTAGCGGATTCTTTCTTCAGCGGCCGTGTTCGCTCGCTGGTTTCCCTTGTTGTTTTCCTTGAAGAGCTGTTCGATCATCATTACATGACCTCAAGCATCGTAAACGCTACCCTACCCTACATTTTGAGTATTCTGGTGTGTTCCTATCCCATCCCTAAGGGACCAAGTTATACTCTCCCATAAAAGCCTACATAACTACTATCCTGAACCCAAGTGCCTGATTATTGGGTCCTTTGGACCCTTGGGGCTAAACTTAAAGGCCCTAAACCCTAAAGGCTCGAAGTCCAGGGGGCCAGAGCCCCCACAGCCTTATCGGACCGACCCGGAACCCTAAAACCGTAACCTCTAAACCCTAAAGCCTAAAACCCTAAAGCCTTGTAACTCGGCGTTCTGGGTTTAGGGCTCGGGGTTTCAGAAGCTTAAGTTCCCACACTAAGAAGCCATATGCAATCCAACGTAGCCCAACAAAACCCTAGGCCCTATTATTTCAGCCAGACTGTCTCGCAAGCCTGATTAGCCCTAATCCCAAAACCCTACAGCTTCAACTCGAACTGAGGTTTTGGTATCGTTGGGGTTGTTGTGTTCGGCCGCAATAAAGGGCTTGCAGAACCACCTTGTTCGAGCTCTTTCAAGCCCGTCAATAACTCACAATGATTTTGCAAGTTCCGACC